ACACCGCATAACATGGATGAACTTGGAGGACATTATGCTGAGTGAAATAAGTCAATCACAAAAGGACAAATATTGTATTAGTCTGTTATTGCAAAAGTCAAGGAAAGGTTTATCTATGGAAGGAAATTTTCTTTGTTGGTTACCAGGGGTGGGAGGGGAGGAGCGGGAATGCTATTAGATAGATAGAGATAAGTATTGATTTGGGTGATGAGAAGGGTGATGTACCACATGTGAGTGACCAGTATGGTGGTATTGAGGAAGAGAAAGACATAGAGAGGTACATAGGAGGTAGAGACAACAAAGATGAATTCTTTTGCATATGCAGTACTGCATTGTCAGTGAAGGGAAACATGGGTATATGGGTGGATAGATGGGTGGACAGTCTGAACTATTAGGTATGTCTATGTAGTGGGGAGTGTATCCAAGAACATGCATAGGGTTGGCAGATAATGGTCCTATAAGTTTATGTGAATGATCAAAATTTTCAGGTGCATAGTAGAGCTGACAAGGGGCAAGGTTGTGGTCACTGCTTGGTCACAGCCAGCTACCCAGAGGGACCGAGTATTTGAACCTGTGGACTTGGCACCATAGTGGCAGGGGACATCAGGCTCAATTGGCATGACATACTATGCAAAACATTGTTCCACCTCCTACTTTGGCAAGTAGCGATTGGGACCTTAAAAGCTAGCAAGCTGCCATCTAGATGGAATGACGGTTCTCTCCTCATCCAGAGCAAGGAAAGATGAAGAAAACAAAAAATTCATGGAAACAATTAGTCCTAGCGACTGGTACACCATCTGATCTGCAGCCTATACAACTATGAGACCAGAAGAACTAGACGGTGGCCGGCTACCACTGTAATCTACTTGGAAGGTGATCTATGTAGGAGATCCTTGATAGAGAGGGAGAACAATGTGTAACAAAACTCAAAATCATTTGGAGGGAAAAAAGGGGGGAGGACCAGGTTTGCTGGTCTGATAAGAGCCTGGTGGAACCACTGAGACTATGGCCCCTAGCTGCCTTTCATGTCTGGAATTGAACCCACACTTTTGGTTTCCAGCCAAACAAAAGGCAGGCATATGAACTGAACATTTACCTGAGGTAGATATACTCCTTGGAGAGAACAATCATCAGAGAAAGAAGGGCTACTTATGCACAAGGAGACAGCTCAGGGGCCAGGAGTGAATGGAGAGAAAGACACAGGGAAGAGGTAACTATGGGGAGGAAGTGAGAGGGGAGCTGTTGCATTGTGGTAAATTGTGGTCAATATTATGAGACAAAGTGTATGTGAACTGCTGTATGGAAAGTGAATTTGCTATGTAAATTTTCACCCAAATCACGATAAAAAAAATTAGATCATAAAAAAAAAAAAAGATGAAAGGAATACTTAGAGTCACTACACCAAAAAGAACTGGTCGATTTTCATCCATTTCAGGAGGTGGCATATGATCTAGAACCAATGGGACTGAAGGTGGAAGTCGAAGCTGCAATGAAGGAATTGGCAAAGAACAAGCCTCCAGGAATTGATGGAATACCCATTGAGCTATTTCAACAAATGGATGCCCCACTGGAGGCACTCAGTCTGTTATGCCAAGAGATTTGGAAGACAACCACCTGGCCAACTGACTGGAAGAGATCCATATTTGTACACATTCCAAAGAAAGATGATCTCACAGAATGTGGAAATTATTGAACAATATCATTAATATTGCACACAAGTAAGATCTTACTGAAGATAATTAAAAAAAGATTGCAGCATTATATTGACAGAGAACTTCCAGAGGTGCAAGCTGGATTCAGAAGAGGATGTGGAACAAGGGATATCATGGCTGTTGTCAGATGGATCTTGGCTCAAGGC